TAGTGAAAAGTACAAAGAACACACGACTCTGTGCTTCCTGCGTTAACGTATGCAGCAGAAACCTGGTCACTGCGTAACCAGGATGAAAGGTCACTCAGCGTTATCGAACGCGCAGCCGAAATGACGATTCTAGGAGTATCCCGTTCCATACAAGTAAGAGAAGGGATCCGAAGCTCCGACCTGCGTTAACGATCAAAAATCAAAGATGCCGTTCTGTATTCCATACAGTCGAAGGTAAGGTGGGCCGGACACGTAATGCATATTAATGACAATCGATGGACAAAAGCCGTTAGTGACTGGATTCCTCGGAATGTCAAACATACTGCAGGAAGATCACCGACTGGATGGTCAGAGTTTTTCATAAAGAGCATTGAAGAAGGATATGATGCTCGACGAATCCGTAGAGCGAGCAGAACCCACTGGGCTACTCTTGCACGCGACAGGGAAAAATGGAAGATTTACAGGCGCCCGGTCGAGTCAGCCGATGATCAACGAGACTACTGGTGACAGGTGAAAACACAGTGCTTAAGAAGGGCCAGTCAAGAGAGTTAGAATATTCGAAATACCACCGAGCACTCTAAAAAGCCAACTAGTTCGCGACCGCCTATATGACCGTCTATGTGCAGCGGAAAATTGTATAATTTACCCTAACGGTAGAGACGGTAGTTGCATGAGTTCGGGTACAGTTTATTTGATCTCTTATAATAATTGCGAAAAGGAATACATTGGCGAAACGGGCAAACCACTCTGCGTCCGTATAAAAGAACACCTAGTCGGTAAACTTAAAGTTAAACCAAGTACCCCAGTGGGCACGCATAGGACATAGAGACAACGGGGAAGAGAAGTATAATTGACGATCCTCGCACAGGAGTCGAAAACACAAGCGCGCAAAATTCTTGAGGCATTCTGGATTAATTCCAAGAGTCCGAAAATGAGCCGCAGGGAGGAGTGGCTCATTATCACGTGTGATATCGGGCAGTATGAATCTGTTCTTCTGATAGGATGGGCACATTACGCTCCCATGTGAATTCTGTGCTCTTGGTCCCCACGTGGCATATTCTGTGGAAGACTCATAGAAAGCGGTGAATATGCGATAAACCTATTCTGTGTTCAATATGATTAAAATCTTGGTTTAACATTTTCTCTGTTTGCTTATCGAAGTGTTTGGCTAGGTAGATTGCGGTCAACTTGACCTTTCCAGGCTCTGAGAAAGGCGAAATCCGCCGAAACGCCAGCTTATTCGTGAATAAGGAATAAAAACAACACCTGGCGCTTGGTCAACAAGAATATTAAGAATTACTTTGCATTCACAGAGTTTTACTAAAGCAGCCGGCGGCTGTGGGACACAGAGAGTAGTTTGCTGCCTTGCGTCTCTGATTTAGCAACAACTGCGAGTAGTTGAACGGCTAACTAAATTCTCTAAACGTTATATGGCCTAATGCGCAGAACTTCTTCACCTCACATGATTTCGTCGTAGGATATCTCAGGAAGGGCACGTGTAGTGCGGTCGTTAGTGGAGCCCTACAATACACATTGGATTGATCACGCTCCCAAGCTCACCTAGCCTTCCATCTCTCCGGGCTCGTCAAATTGGTGCCAGATCTCTCTGGGAGGATAGCAGCACCGACACGATACATGGCGCGAGTTATTCTATAGGCCAGTTGCGTATTCGATTGCTTTAACGCTGCTTAATGAAGTCTTATGGTAAATCCCTCAAACATTTATCAATTCCGAGACCCTTGTCCTTTATTCTTTTACATCTCTATAGAAAGAACAAACAGCACTGTTGCTGTGAACCTATGAATTACGTAGGTGGCATAATCTATCCCAGCACCAGTTAAACTCCGATCCTGGTCAACCAAGGCTTTCATCCTTTCGGGGTGGGGAATTGGTACCAAACTTATCTGGTAAAAGCTCAATCCATGTAATCGAAGTAGAAAAGGTCTAGCACGGCCAAGTCAAGACTCAAGGTCGCACAGAAAAAGTTCGAGGACCTTTAGGGGATGGTGCATTCGGAGAAACAAATAGAACGGAAGAATTGCTAAGGTGTAAAAGTGTGACAGATGTGATGCAATGTCTGGACCTCTAATAATAGTATCCTAATTTAAAGAGTAGTTAAATAAGTAGTTAAATAGATTGGTTAAGGAAATTTTCCAAATTTGATTCAAAAAATCCATTGAAGGGTCCTGTTTTTCAACTAATCTATCTCCTCTTTTAAGATTTTTGTAATTTAGAAAACACTGGTGAAAAAAAATTTAATTCCAAATGAGAAGATAAATAACCTCGGGTTTTAGGATTGAAACCAAAGACGAGTTGAACTCGGACAACATATTCATGGAGTCGCAAGCACAGATGCGTCACTTTGATTTCGATGAACTCATTGAACATTTGGAAGACCTACAGGTTAAGTACACTCACCTCAAATATTGACTTCAAGAGGCCTTCTTAAATAGGCGCATGTTACCCAATCATTAGAAGTGTCTTGCAATACATTTGGTTCAATTTCGCGTATCAAGCCAATCACACCCCGTCTCTCCTTGGTCGGCAGCCTGGGACCATAGCTTTCTGCAAAAAAAAACACTAAATTGATAAATTTGAAGACACCTGGAAGTTATTGCATACCCTAACTATGCAATCCATCGCCTCCACGGCATCCTAAAAATAGACTTTCATTGTTTAACCGGTGCACCCGGTACTGGATTTGGCTCGATGCGACTATGAACACCCACACCTGCAAGTAAATCAGCTTGGGATTACTGACCTTGATCAACGTGACTCTGAAGAAGGCGAAGACGCCGAAACGTTAGCTGTTCTTATACTAACTCCGTGTCAGATCAATCGTGTAGAAAATCACCTTTACGGTGTTAAATAAAGACGAATTCATGCCGCATTTTAATGGAAATTGGTCAATGTGGGACTCTTTACCATATTTGAATAAATTGTTTGGGTAGTTTGATCGCTCGTTTTCTTGTTTAGCGATATACAACAGCAGCTGACGTTTCGGCAGTATCGCCTTCTTCAGAGCCTGGAAGGGTATGCTGATATACAATCTACTAGGCCAAACGCTTCAATAACACTTATAAAAAGACGAGAAACTCTATGGTAATTATATGATCAACAAGTTCTTGAAAAACTCACCGCTTTTAACGTGACTTTCAATGAGGAAGATTAGAGCAGCTGATTATAGTCGCATATGGTTGATGACTGCACCATCCCACTTCAGAAATTGATGCGAACATATGGGAACAGGTTGGGTATGACTTCTGGGCACTCATTCCTGCTATTCATTGCAGGATTTTTGGCATTTATCCAAAAACCCTCGAGAAGTTTTCGAGCTGGTGTTTTGGACTCCTGTGCAAGGATATTGACTTTTACTTCGAAATCGTCTCCGCTGTGCTTTTGTATCCTGTGCGTGTCTAGTGGGGTGCTTCGTCTTAGTTTTCGTTTGCCATCTAGGTGTTCTTTTAAACGGATACACAAAGGTCTGCCCGTTTCGCCAATATATTCATCTCCGCAATTGTTACAAGAGATCAGGTATATCGTACCTGAACTCATGCAATCACCGTCCCTGCCGTAAGGGCAAATTACGGAATTTGTTGTTTCACATAGGCGGTCGTACAGGTGGTTACGAACTAATTGACGACGTAGAGTAGCCGGTGGCATTTCAACTACCGCTACCGATTCCTCTAGACTTGCCCTTCTTAAGCATTGTTTTATAGCTGCGCTTACTTCATCGCTTATAAAAGGCAACATAAACGGGGTTCCTTTTGGCCAAGTGTTTCGCTTGGGCGCGTCGCTCGCGTAGTTTGATCGTTATTATTCGCAAAAGGCCTTAAGAAAATTATGACTTTTTTACAACATTCCTGACTAGGGAAGCAGGCAACGTTTGTGCTCAGAGTGATAAGTGTGCCAAAGCACATCATGTGGCTCATTGTTAAGCTACCGATCGTCCAATTTCATTGAAATTATTGAATGTTACTGCAAATACTTTCAGCAGGTTAGTATCGTCTCTTCAAACGTTTCCTTCTAGTATCCCGTAGAGCAGTGAATTCTTGCAAAACTTGTTGCTTTTTGATAGGCAGACACGGGGTTGTTAGTGCGACATTCAATTCACGGCGACCCACGTCTTGGCCGGTCAATTTTTCCTGAGCCTGAAATGGTCAAGTTGGTTCAGCAATATAGTCGGTCAAGAATTGAGCGAACTTCCAAAAACCAAAAAAGGAAAAACTAAACGAAAATCTCAATAGTATTGGAAGCAGCTTTCTTAGACAATTAACGTTTTCTCTCCGTCTGCCTCTTATTGATGAAAACTAATCGCACAGAATTAACATGGGTGGGCAATGTATCTGTCTTAAATTAAAAGATCATCAGAGAAGTGGATCATGCAACTACTTGGTTGACTACATTGTACATCAAATTGACCTTGCCGCCTATGAACAAAGCAAGATCCCAATTTTAACTTTTTATTTACTGCCTATTATTTTTAACGGCAGGTTTCTTTGGGAAATATAACTTCTATAACGCTGAGATATTTGCAAAACTCAAAATTTACGGGTGATTGCTGATGGTAAAAGATCTATAGAGATAGCTGAGAGACAGGCTAAACGGAGGACCCACATGGTGTGGTGGTGAACGCACTACTCCCCGGAAAGGACAATAGCGCGTTCGTTCTTCACCGCAGACATCTGCGGCCCGGAGTTTTGCAAATTTCTCTGCATTGTAGAAGTTATATTTCGCAACATATCCTGCCGTTAAAAAGAATGGCAGTAAATAAGAAGGTTAAAAACACATTCTGTTAGATAGAAAGTGGTCTTTATATCCTTGTCAAGTGCAAATGTTATCTAATTGGTTTTCCAAGCTATATTAGAAAAAGTCAGACTCATAATAGTTCATGACGAAGAGAATCAAGTCAACTTTTGAAGAAATACTACATAACGTCTACTCGCTATCGCTTCGGATGACTGATCTCTGGATTTTAGTATTTCGGTACAAATAAGACGATGGACTGCTATGCGTGTATTTCCGTGCAACCGGTGGAATCACATCGAATGCAAGCCGTTACAATTAAAATGGATGACATTTGCTGCCGAATTCCCGACTATGCTGCGGCAGACCCTTTCATCAATAAGACCAGGTGTGTTATAGAAAGATAAAGTTGCCGATTTTATTCCAATCACCGTTATGTTATTGATTTGTTGCATATCATTACCATCTATTAGGGTTTTTGTCTAAAAACTCTTTCTTCAATACCCGCTTCATCCAAACAATGTTCCTTACATTCTCTGTTTTGTCAAATATCATTCATTGAGTGATCCCAAGCGGCCGGTTAGAGCTCTACGTAGCACATTCAAAGGTGATGATTGAAAGAACAAAAGAGTATTAAAAGTGAATTCGTGCCGATATACAAGTACATTTAGTGGATTGACTCCCCGTTTCCGTATCAGTCAATTAAGATACTACGGCACAGGATGGCCAGCAGTCTGGTCTGATAATCAAGCTTCCCGGATACAATCAGAAAAATCGCTAAGCTGTCTGTGGTGTCCAAAGAGCCTGCAAAGACCCAGCAAGCTACTTTTGTCGAACATCTGCTCATTCACCTTATCTTAAAAGAGACCTCCGTAAGGTAGAGTTGGTCAGACAAAGTGCAGAAAGACAGGTGGAATCTCGAGACCATTTGAGAAACTCTAAGAAGACTATGGTGACGATTTCCATCTTCGACACACACCAATGCCTGAGCCTCGAACGCTTCATTATGTTGATAGTGAGCAAAAGGCGAAAAGGAAAATAAAATGCCAACGCTTCTGTGTTTGAAGCACAAAATCTTAGACACAAATCACTGACGTTACTCTTACTGTAAGAAAAAGGTAAAGATTAGGCGAAGAGAAAGAATATTTTCCTATACTATTTCTTAACCATATATTTCTATTTCTTAACTATATATATTTCTTAACTGTTTTGTTTTCAGATCTCTATCAACTTCACAGGAACCACTCACTCAGGTTTCATCCACGGACTGCAGAGAGTTGATTTCACGAGATGTTGAAACGGTCGCTGGTGTGATTATAAGAATGCCGTCGATTATTTTCATCACATAATAGTTTATCTTTGTAACATGTTGCACTTATGATACTATGTAGTGCAATGTTGTGCCGGACAAACCGAACCCTTCTTCCCTTCGGTGTCGGCAGACTGGAACCAAAATTTTCTGGAAGTAACACAAGCACTGAATTCATGTTTGCACTTTTACTTACTGCTTATTCTTTTTCCAAAGCAGACTACGATATGAATACAACCGCAAAGATGATGATAGGTGAGCAAAACTCAGACCCTCAAAGAGACTTGAAACTCGTCATTTCTCTTACTATTGCGTTCTATCCACTACGCTAACCCAGCCTCTTGCTTCACCTTTCTCTCAGACATGCTTTTACTCTATAGGTGCTATAGTGTAAATGGGGCACACCTCCTACAGGTTTTGAATTTCGTTGACGTCTCACCAACCCTGTGGTTGTATTTCAAGTGACCTAATGCATCGTTAGGTTTCAACTACTCAGTGTATAGGTCGGCAGGGAAAGCAGTCTATGAATGCATTTTTCAGTTATCTTTCGCTCCCTTCGCCAAATATACTGGGAATTGGAGTTTGCACACATTTGAATTCAGAGTGATAGGCGAACCCACGCAACCACCATCTTTGAAACAAAGTTTTCCAGCGATTGTATTATTTCAAATTTCTTACTATTCAAATTTTTTTTTTCATAGAATCTCAGTCGTGTAATCTAGGTACCAACTGCTGTCGTCATGGAGTCAGTAGCCCAAAGACAAGCGGTGTCGAGATCAGGTGACGTATTTTTACAGCGAGAATCTTAAGTTTTGGAAATTTTCGAATAACCTTAGAAAGTTTTTTCTAACTCTCCACTTATTGATTTGTCGAATTAATAATGATTACAGCACACAGTACTCACCGCCCAGATCACCACTGGAGATTAGTAAACTAAGAACTTTGTAGGTTTTCAAAATATTAACCAGTCATACTAATTACGAAAAGGTTTCTTGTTTGCTGTTTTCCCCAAGCCTTATTAAGCTTTTGCAGAAATAGAGAAACTCGTTCAAATTCGATGCCAAGAGCTGGTCGAAGAATAAAGACTGGCAAGAACCGTAAAGTGAGGAGATTTTCAATTGTCTTCGTTCTCATTTCGAGTAGCTTTATTTCTAATGTCGTTCGTTCCTAGAATTACACTCCTAATAAGGACGCCGTCGTTCAAACTGATGACTCGTACCTGAAAATTGCCCGCCGTCTTGATGAGTACCGCTCGATGCGAACGAAGTTCTTGCCGGTTTTTGCAGCTTCGCCAAATCGTCAACTTGACAACACGAGCAAGTTCGGAGAACTCGTCTTGTGCAACTACAGCAACAAAAGTTTACTTCATTGTCTTGAATGAAATATTTCCAGCTCTCGTCGGCCATCAGAAGGAGAGATAGATGCATTTGCCTTGCCGAATGTTCAACGGAAGCAGCTATTCACAAATTTCCCTCAAAAGGCAAGAAATAAATCAATGTAAGTAATGTTCACTTCATTAATTGTTAGTAGTAGTGATTTTGTATAGAAGTAATTCAACAGCAAAATTTCATGAAACCCAATTATTCCTTGACATTCCAAACATAATGTGTCCCAGTTGGATTTGTTTTCTAACAAACATTCGAGTGAACTATACTCCTTACAATTGCTAAGAAAGGATGATTGAGTACCTTAAATTAGGGTAGTTTTCTCTGGATCGTTTTCAACCCTGGCTCATTTTTAGGAGTGTCGATCTAAATGGGTGCAGATCGATTGATGAGGACTTGGAGCGGATAGCAACAGATAGGCTTATTCTGGTAGAAGTAAAATTTCACTTGAAGATTTTAAAACATATGGTTGAAAACATGAAAAATTGTTTCTCGATAACTGCAATATTACTCGGTATTGTAATATTTCTCGCCATACTTCTGGCATCCTGGTTTAGTGTGTGGCATCTACTGATACAATCTACCTTTTTCAGATTTTTTATCCAGTTTAATAGGTGAAGTCCAGTCAATAGCTTTCAGTTTTCGTAGCACTGGAGTTTATCTAGAGGCGGGCAGTGCAGTGATAGTGGTGCTCATTCAGGGGCGCTAGTTCGACCTCGCTGTAGGCTCACCAGGTCTTTTCTCCCTTCGGAGTCAGGAAATTAGAACTAGACCTGTTTGCAAATAATCGACTTCCTGAATCCTAGTGCAAACGCTGTAACTCGGCTATCCTAGAATTCCGGTTAGAATCAACTAGACCAACGTACAATAATATTCATAACAGAGACGACATTCCTCGAACAGGGCAGAACCCACATGCAAAAAGTTCAGAGACCTTCGCGGACGATGAATGCTATACATTATATATACATTAAGAATGGAATGGAAGAAGTGCTGGGACCAGCACAAGAGAGGTGAACGCGGATAGTGTAAAATAAAAGCAAAAATACTTAATTGGAATCTTTGTTGCAACTATACTTCGGGATGAATTTGCGGACGATAATCAACTCCCTTAAGCCTTAAGGTGCTTCCTTAAGATTTATATAGATTGCTGCACAAGCTTCTATTCCAGGATTCTGTATGGAATTTCATGGTAAAAATGACAGTGGCGGTATTGATGTGTTGACGACCAATGGTATATTGTGTTTGCGATTTAGTCCAATCCAGATAGTGGTAGCTACCTAGACGAGTTAACGGACTAAAGCAGCATGATATCAATATGGGCAACGGAGACAAGATATTAGCACACCGGGATGCTTATCAAAATCGTCATAAAGCAAAATAAAAATGAATCGATCTACTCTATTAAGTCTCGAAGAACGTGGACTTTATCGACGAAACACGTCAATCTTTCAATGGGATCTCCAACACTACCGTTGCTCACTGTTTCCTTTATGGACAAACAAGAGTTTATTACGTTAGTCTTTTGACAAAACAAAAAAGCTGGTATTTTAGCTTATTTAGCCTTCCTCAGAACCTGGAAAAGTTGAGTTTATTGCAATCTACTCACTCAAACACATCTATAAGAAAAATAGAAAAAAACAAAACCACGATTTAAATTTCTCTAAGAACAAATTTTCTGCTGAATGTTTCACATGGAAACCAACCGCATAAAGATCACATGAATGGAGAATATGCTTTTCCGACATTAACATCTCATGCTGAGGTATTCTGTGAGGTCGCGCATGATAACGAGGCGTTCTTCGCTGCGGCTCATTTTTGGGTTGTTGGAATTTATCTAGAATCTTTCCAGAGGGCTGTTTTCTATTCCAGTATGATCACGGTAGCTTCTACTTAAAAATTTTTTCCGTTAATGTCTCTGTAACTTGTACACGCCTATTAGAGTATTTCGCTTAACTTCTAGTTTACTGACCACCGATGTATTCTTCCCCGAAAGCTTTACAAGAGATCAGATAAATAATACGCGAACTCATGCAATCACCGTCTCTACCGTTAAACCATATGGTGCTATTTTGCGTTGTAGATAGGCGGTCATGCATGCGGTTCCGAACTTAATGGCATTTCACAATGCTCGGCGGTATTTCTATCGCTGTTACCGAATTCTCAAGACAGGAGCATCCTAACAAACGTTTTAATAGCTGCATTTATCTCGTTGGAAATGTTTTTAAGGTACTTAAACAGGATCTTATTCTCCCCCGAATCACCTTTTGGGAGAGTGGTTTTTCATTTCAACCGTTGCGTGGAGATAGAGTTTGGTAGCCATTTAAAGTGGCTGTTTGCCGCGCCAATTTCACGGATTCTTCCTTTTGCTCTGTTCCTGTGCACGTATTAGTGGCTGTTCTGAGCATTTTTCTCACCGGGACCCACTTTTGTGTATGAGAAAGAACAGGACAGCTCATGAACCAGTACATTTTTGTTACATAGCTTCCATTACCACTTGGTAGTGTAGCCTTTTCAGATAGATTAATCTGAACGTTCAGAAATGGAAGACACTTACCTTTGGTTATCTCACCAAAAAGCTGAATGTGCTCTGTATTTCGCATAATACCCTGCCATAGAAAATTGTACTAGACAGCAAATTAAAAGTTAATATGACGTAATATAATATTTTTGAAACAAAGGCAAACGAAGGACATGCATGGTGTGGTGGTGAACACGTTAGCTCCGGAAAGGATAATAGCGTTCGTCCTTCACCACAGATACCAGCGGTTGAGAGTTTTGCAAATGAATTTTTATAAGTAAATTTAAGATGGAACATGTTGATAATTCAATTCTACGGGGAAAAAATTTTTCATGACCTCAATGTAAAAACTACAACACCTAAAAAGACACGGTAGATGATGCACAAAGGTTTTGAGCTTTTAAATATAAAGTCGGAGCACATTATGTTCACCTGAGGAAAACCGACTGAAAAATGGCTTCTACTTCTGAACGCTCATGTTAACATACTCGAAAATCGCTGTATACCAAGTGATACCGAAAGCCGACGGGGCTTGTGAAAAACATGTTTCGAACAGCAACCAGTGTGTGCGTGCACAAGAGGGAAGCAGGAGGAAGAATTCTTGAAACTGACGTGTCAAAAAGCCACTTCCAATTACTACAAAACTGCAGCTCTTCTGGACAGCCACAGAGGAAAAACCATGCACCCAAACGGTAATTTTAGACAGAACAAGGTCTCATTCATCCTGTCCTTTGTTTTCAACGAAATAACTGCGGCTATACAACCCTGCTATAAAACGGCCGACTTAGACAATTAGGTAAAAGTGTTATAAGTCCTACCGAGCACTCTAAAGTGGCAATTCATTCTTAACCGGCAGTACGATCGTCTTTGCATAATATAAAATTACATAACATTCCCAAGCGGTAGAGGCCATGACTGCGTGAGTTCAGGTATTACTTATCTGGTCTCTTGTTAAGCGCGCATTGGTGAAACCGTTAGACTACTTCGCTCCCGTGTAAGAGAACATGTCGTCCGTAAACTAAGAGTTAAATGAAACACTCCGCTAGGTGCTCACAGAGTACAGAGACATGAACGGGGAAGATTTCCAAGTAAAGCTACCATCCCCGCACAGGAATAGAAAACATGGACGCGTAAAACTCTCGAAACGTGGATAAATTCTAAAACGAAACGCAGGAAGCAATTCCTCGTTGTCACACATTATCCCAGACAACAATTAAGGCTGTTGTTTTAATAGGAGGAAAGCACATTACTACTTCATCTGAATTGTGTGCGGTTGGTCTGCCCTTGAAATACTCAGTGGAGACTCATAGAAAGTTGTGAGTTCGCAAAGAAGCTATTTCATTTCCATTACGATTGGAATCTTGGTTTCCTGGTTTATCCGTTTTGTTTGTGGAAATGTTTGACCAACTAGATTTCGGTCAATTTGACCTTTCCAAGCTCCGGATAAAGCAGAATCCACGAAAGCGTCAGTTTTTTCTATCAATGAAGAAAAGGTAACTACGTCGTGTTTGCTCAAGGAAACTGAATTATTTGCTCATTGCCGAGGTTAACAAAAAGTCGGTCTTGGGAACTACTGCTGTTCACATCACTTACAAACTGCTTTGAAAAAAAATATTATTTCGCAGTTTTTTTATTTTTCACATTTTTTAATCGGATAGTTGCCACAGCTCGTTTGATTTGCAGCCGTGTGTCGATGTTCCCGGGTTCTTCGTTGGTGATGTGATGAAAGAGTTCGTCGCGTTCGTTTTCCAACAAAGTATAAAGAAATCATATCGTTCGTGTATACGAAAAAATTTCCCACACTACAAATTTTTTAAAATTTCTTCCTGTCGATTTCGCATATTCTGCGGATTGAGTAGATTTTATTCCTTTGCCGCTAATCTGTCATCCAGAATCACGGTGGACTTGGGCGTTTGTTCAGCTTAAACTTAGGGACCCTCCTTTTTTCAAGAATATGAATCAATGTTAGTGAAACTAATTTTTTTCCAATAAAGGGATAGTTGTTGTAGACCGTCCCAACGTCTTTATCAGCAACACTGACTGACACAAATACGTGGAAGAAGGAGATTTTCCCAGCACGTCTGATACCATTTTCCCGACCCGGGTGTGGTAGCAGGCAGAATCTATCCAACGCTTTGAACCATCGGTCGTACTTTTATTACATAGCATGTATACCCACAAGGCTTGCCGCTTCTTTAAGCTATAGAATAAAAAGGATAAATCTCTCGGCGTTAATGAATCTGAGGGATCCGTCATGCATTCGACTTCGTTAAGCATCGTTAAAAGTGACTAAATGCATATCTGGCTTATACAGTTACTCGCGTTGGCCTGCCAATGTATGGAGTCAGGTTGCTATTTTACCACAGAGGTCTTGTACGAATCTACCGACTCCGGAAGGATTGGGGGCTCGATGATCCTGGAGCACGTGGATCCATGTGTATTGCAGGGCCTGCCCAACCACTGTGCTACACACGC